TCTGCTCCAATAGGTGCCCTGTTGCTGGGCTCAGACTCCATGAGGGCGAGCGGTCAGGCCATGTGCCCTGTGTGAGTTGGGAGAAGTTGAGCCCAGGAGCCGGAAGCAGGCTGGCGTCCCTAACTCGGAAGCATTTTGCAGCAGGGTTTTCTTTAAATCTAGACACATAACCAGAGGTGAAAGGAAGCTGGTACAGTCCGGTACGGCAAGAGCCGGTATGCCATGCCGGACCGGACCGGCTTCCCCAGGCTGGTGATTTAAAGGGCCCGGGGCTCCCTGCAGTGGCCAGAGTCCCGGGCCTTTTAAATCGTCTCCCGAGCCCCACAGCCAGAGCCCCGGGGTAGCAGCTGCAGGGCTCCGGCGGTGATTTAAAGGGCCCCGGGCTCCGGCCACTGTGAGGAGCCCGGGCCCTTTAAAGTGCCTCCCGACCCATCTGCCGGAGCCCCGGGGTAACGGCGGCAGGGCTCCGTCGGTCATTTAAAGGGCCTGGAACTATGCTGCAGTAGCGGCAGCTGGAGCCCCAGACCCTTTAAATCATCCCGGAGCCCCGGGGTTCCCAGCCGCCTCTGCAGCTGATAGCTGCGGGGGTGATTTAAAGGCCCCCCCTCTTCCGGTTGAGGCCAAGCCCCCGCGCAGGACTCCGGCGTACCGGTACGTCCTTTAAGTTACTTTCACCCCTGCACGTAACTGAGTGGTTGGTTAATCAGTCCGCTGACTGGCTAGCAGTGATTTCCACAGAGGAAGTCTGCATGGATTCCAGCTGGAGATTCCCGCAAGCAAGTGGAGGGAAGATGTTGTTTTAGACTCCATCTACTTTCTATGGGAGTTGTTTTTTGTTTAAGGCACTGGAGACGGGAAATGAAGTGAACTCTAGCCCACACAAAGGTTACACTTACACCAAAGACAACGCTGGCAGCCAATTCTATAGTAAACGAACTACAGATTTATTAGCTAAGAAAAGGAAGGGAGAGTTATTGAGAAGTTAAAGCAGTTAAAATATATGCACAGGTGAGTCACAGTTTATAATTCCAAATGGTGGCAGTGATGTAATAAACTCCCAGTTTCCCAAAAGCCTTTTCAGGGTATGCAGATTGTCTCTGGGGATCTCCACTTTGCATCTGATACACTTTCCTGTAAGAGTCCAAACAGCCCAGAGATGCACGCTCTTTCCTGGAAGCCATATGTATAACTTCTTATGATGGTGTCACTATGATGACAGAGCGTGAGGAATGCATTTGGAGTCTTTGACCTCCAGTCATCACACACAATGACCACTTGCTTTGAAATGAGCACTTTTCCGTCAGAGGTCCTCGTTTGCATTCTACCAGGCTTCTTTCTCGTTCGATGGGTTATTTAGTTACGGGGGTATACACAATGTAAATGTTTGCTAGTACATTAAAACAGGATTCAGATAAGTGAAAACATTGCAAATAAGATCCCACTAGTTTTCAGGAAGTTTAAACACCAAATACACTCTGATACATTTAACAGTCACTTTGATCTATACTAAAATACACAAGTGAATTGGCCTGGAGCTCTGGCATGAGTTGGCTGGTCTGCCAGCGTCACACCCATGATGAGTACGACTTGAAGAACTGAAGACAGCATCACCCGCCTCCAAAGGATGTCTATTTCTTTATTCTATATTTGGCATGCAGCTTCGTTTATATGACACTTTTTGTAAAAAACAGAGGATAAGGCCTTTGGAAACTGTGTTTAGCTCATGTCAGGAAAGTGCTTCTGTCAGCATCTCTGAGACAGAGGGAAACACCAAACAGTTAAGAAGAGATGCACGGGGAAGAAGAGCCTTCTCCCAAGACATCTCTAATATAGCCATAGATTAGAGAGCTTCATCCTATGGGTTGTGCCTTCCAGCAATTATTTGGTGCCTGAGTTTAGCCCTCTATCCCGGGCAGCGTGTGAACTGGCTACTCGAGGAGGCTAGCCTGCAGCCCAGCCCCTTCTGTCTGAGCCCAGTACCGGAGCCCAAAGCTGCCCAAGCGCCCCCAGTCCCGGAGCACTGGGTGGCATGGCCCCCAGCCCCGCGTGGCGCGAGCACTGGCCCCAGCTGCCCTGAGTCCCGGGCACAGCCTGGGCCATGGAGGAAGAGCCGGAAGCAGGAGGGGGCTTAGAGGCGGAGCATGGGCAAGGCCACGCCTGGCTGTTTGGGGAGACTCAGCCTCCCTTGGCCTGTGATACCCGCCTCCCATGCCCTCTATGGAATGCCACATACCCCAGAAGACTGGCGTGAGGCTTAGCTAATGTTTGTCGAGTATCTTGATCTCAGATGGAATGGGCCAAGTACCCTCCCAGGGCACATCTATGCTGCAGTCAGAGATGCCCTGCAGCACACGTAGCCATACCTGAGACCGCTTTGATCTGTCTAGTTCGGGCACCAAAAGCAGTGAAGCCACAGCAGCGTGGGCAGCAGCATGGGCTTGCCGCTTGAGTATATACCCAGGGTCCCGGGCAGGGTTGGACAGCCGCATGCTGCTGCAGTTTTGCTGCGATTGGTTCTCGAGCCAGCTAAATCGAAGCTAGCTCGGGTGTATCTATACATGCTGCAGTCACACCTCTGATTGCAATGTAGACACACTCCTGATGTTCTGGCTCTCGGCAGCTCTGTGCGGCTATGAATCCATCTGTGCTCCTATTTCTCACTCCACCCTGCACGCTGGAACACAAGCAGGACATTCTGTTCACAGGTAACTTTCTAGCCAACGAGGCAGGTTTTCCTTTGGCAGAAACATCACCTCTGTAGAAATGGCGATTTTGCTTTTAAAGAAATCAATCAAGTCGCTCCAGATAACCTCAAATTCTGGAGGGACTTCGTCTCCTCCCAGTTCCCCCCATGCCAGTTCCAAGGCATTAGCACTGCATTCCCCACGGCAGGTCTGCAGCATTGCACGTGCTTGGGAGAGGGGGTATCAGCAACTCCGCTGTTGTTCTGATCACTTCTTTTGCTGGGGTTTCCTTGCTGAGGACTTGGCATTCCCCCCAGCTTTGCTGCCAGCCTTGGTGCTGCCTCCTGCCTTAGCTCTGTCCGTCTCCTTCTCACCTTTCCTTCCACCTCCTTGCTTCTTTTCACCTGCACCCTTCCCTCCTTCCTTCTTTCTGGTCTCATCTTTCCCTTCTTTCTTGGACCCTTCTTTCTGCTCCTTTTTGCCCTCTTTCTTCTTGGATCCCTTGGAACCTTCTTTCTTGCCTTGGGCCCTGTCCACTTTCCCTGAGACGGTGGGCACCTCCTCTTTCTTCTCTTCTGCCACATGAGCTGTAGGGATTGAAGGGGGAAAGAAAACAAAGTAAGTTACTTTGGGGTAGCTTTCACCAATTCCTGCAGCCCTCATGCAAATCAGGGAGCTCAGAAATCACTTTAATCTAACAATCCAACACCCTCCATATTTCCCTTTGGCTCCTTGATTTGCTGCATTTAAACATCGGTTTATTAATCTACGGGTATATTAGGAAGAATGGGATAAAGCTAATCATAATCCTGGCTTCACTGAAATCAGTGGCAAAAAAATCCCATTGACTTGAACGGGACCGGGACTGGACCCAAGAAGACAATCAAGGAGTATTCCCTAATAGTAAGGCCTAATGTATAACAGTGTCCCAAGGGAAGCAGCAGAACCCCCATTGTTTGGTTTGGTTTAAAACCAGACTGGGTTTTTTTCTTGTGGGGTGGCGTGTCCCTTGCAGAAGAGAAGAGACTGGCCTTGGGTGTTGTGAATACAGGAAGAATCTTTACTATGCTGAGCAGACAGACAGACAGCCTCAACCGTGCATTGCAGAGTGAGGAACAAGAGGATCGCTTGAGCTGGTCCAACTACAGCTGACGGCGGATTTTTTTTATCAAAACCATTTTTCAGTGAAAATTGATGGTTAGAAAAACATTTCAGTTGGGACGACATTTCATTCCAAACCCCCAACGTGAAGGATTCCAATGACATTGACATTTTTGGAACAGAATGTTTTGATTTTGTTTGTTTGTTTCAAAACAGGCTTTGAAAGCAAACTCGCTATTTTTATATAAAACGTTTGCTTAAACGTTAAAAGATAAAAATCAGAACAAAATGTTTCCATTTTATGAAAAGAAAATGTTTTGAGTGACGGGCAAGGAAAATTTCAGAAACTTGTTTCGCGGGAAATGTCATTTGTTTTCGTTCCCTTTTGGAACAGAATTATTATTTAGTCGTAGTAATAGGAATAGTTAAATCACAGAATTTCCCTTGTCGTGAGTAATCTGGTTCCTGCCCAGCCGTATTGCCGACTACCCTGTATCACTTCTGCCATTTAAAGTAATGGTAACAATAAAACATTCATATCATTTCCCTGTGTCCTTAGTAGTTCTAACTAGGAATCTAGACAGAGAGGTGAGTTAACTATAGTTACAAATACATAGAGCTTAATTTGTGCCAGGGCTTGTCAGGGCCAAGCCCCAGCACCCAGGGCCGGCTCCAGGCACCAGCTGAGCAAGCTGGGGCTCGGGGCGGCAGATTGTTCGAGGCGGCGTTCTGCCCAATCCTAGGGCGGCACGGCCGCTTTTTTGTTGTTGTTGTTCCGCTCCGGCTGTCCTGTAGGGGGCGGCGGCGCGGAGAACCAGAGCGCCCTGCAGGGCAGTCCTTTTCCTTCCCTCCCCGCCAACCGGAGCGGCAGGAGGTGCCGCAGCGGGAGGGGCCGCGTGGCAGCGTCCCTGCTGTAGCCCTGGCCGCCCCCTTCTCTCTCTCTCCAGCCCATTTTCCCCCCACGCCCCCCCCAGCTGGTCCCCCTACACCCGCGCTCCGGCCACGCCGCAGGTTTTCTTTTTTTTTTTGCTTTGCCGTTCTGGCCACCCCGTTTTTTCTGTTTTTTTTTTCACTTGGGGCGGCCAAAAAGCCAGAGCCGCCCTGCCAGCACCTCTAGGTTTGGCAGTTCATAGCCCCGGCACCTCTGGGCTTGCCGCATCGGTTATGAATGTAAAAAACCAGCACCTCTTTCATTACAAATTAAGCACTGCATAAAAAGTTATCTTGGGCCAAATCCTCAGCTGGTTTAAATCAGCTTCATTGGGGTTAACGCCATTGACACCAGCTGAAGGCTGATTTAGTTGGGGTTGGTCCTGCTTTGAGCAGGGGGTTGGACTAGATACCTCCTGAGGTCCCTTCCAACCCTGAGATTCTATGACTCTATGAAGGTTTGGCCCTGTTTTGTTCAGTGTCCTAACAGTAAGATAAAGCAGAAGGTCTCAGGGGACCCAAGGAGGTCTTTGGTTAACACTTTATGGGTACTGCTTCGCTAGAGTCCTCAGTGCCGACTACAGTCCAGGGAAAGAGCAGGAACTGCAAATCTCTGCCTTATGTCTCTCTCGGAGACCCTTACTCATCTCAAGTAGCACCTCATTCCACAAACAGTGTGGTTTATTGGAAAGGGCACTGGACTGGGAGTTAGGAGACCTGGCTAATACTTGTGACTCTGCTACTGACCTGATGTGTGGCCTTGGGCAAATCACTTCACTTCTCTGAGCCTGTTTGTATGGTAAGAGCTCCGAGGCAGGGACTGTTTCTTACTATGTGTTTGTACAGCACCTAGCACAATGAGGTCCTGCTCTTGGCTAAGGAATCTAGGTGTTACTATAATAAAGTAGGCTAATGTTCAGCAGGAGTAAGAGTGTCACAATTTGGCCCTTAAGTATTAGATATGTCAACCCTTCATTAATTCTGCCCAAGGGTTTAATAATGAACGATTTTCTTTAAAAGAACATGGGATTGTTTTTCTCCCCTGCGTTTTTGAGCACAAAGTTTGACATTTTGAATTTCTATTTCAAATTATGAAATAACATTCAATCGAAGATCAAATTTCTCATTTCTATGGGGTGGGGGGGAATACAACACTTTGCCAAACTACAGCATTGTGCAAAATGATGACAAAGATCTGCCAGAAACGACCTTTTTGTCACAACCCCTCGTCTGACAATCCCAAATGTTAGATAGAGGCATGTGTCCCCAAAACGTTTCTTGTGAGGCTACATTGCTGCCCAAGAGCTTACTGCTAACGAATCTGCAGAATCAGATCCCCAGCAGGTTTAAATATCCATAGCTTCTCCACTGACTTATGGAGCAACACCAATTTGTACCAGCTAAGTATCGGGCCTGTCTTTATTGTGTTCATTTCACCCCAAAGTAGTCACCACAAGTGCACACAATGTGTTATAGAAAAATAACACCCTTTGGCCATGGAAGATTGTGATCAATATACAGCAGTTATAATGTATCTACAAGGCAGGGCCGAGCTGTGGGCCGCTCTCCCCGGCGGCCGGAGCGCCGGGAGGAGGGCGGAGTGCCCGCTGGGGCTCCGCTCTCACCGGCAGCGAGCCGGCCGGGGGGAGGGCGGCGAGCCCGGCCAGGGCTCCGCTCTCCCCGACCGGCCGGAGCGCCGGGGGGAGGGCGGCGAGCCCGGCCGGGACTCCGCTCTCCCCGGCAGCCGGAGCCGGAGCACCGCGCCGCCCCGCTCCAGGTGTTGCCCCAAGCACAAGCTTGGTGGGCTGGTGCCTGGAGCCGGCCCTGCTACAAGGTAATTATTCAAAGGGATCTGCAAAGTGAAAATAATGCAGCCTCTCTCTTTTAATCGGAGGGAAATTCGGACACCTTGGAGGAAAGTTTGGGAGAGACGGATCGCCTCCTTGTTTATGACCATTACAAGAACCAATCCAGCTCCCAACCAAGCCACTGGAAACTGGATCAGGCCCTTAAAACACGCAGTCCCGTCACCAATCAGAGCAAGGGCCAAACCCTGCTTGCATTGCTCACATGACGTGAGCAAGATGACCTATGTCAATGAGGGGAGCGAGATTTATATGCACAATCTGAAGTCAGTCCTTGTTTTTGTCCAAAAGAGACGTCACCCCATGCTGTACAATCAAGAAGTCCTCAGAGAACCAGCCATCAGTTGGGACATTCCATGATAGCAGTAACAGTGGGATAGAGAGGTTCAAATAACAACAAGCAATAACGGTTAATAGTATTTAATAATCATAATGAGATTGGCACTTAGTACTTAAATAGCGATTTCCAACTTCACAGCACTTAATGACCATTCATTCATTACAATAACTACTTCTTTCTATTGCCTGTTCACAGGAATAAATGCACCATCAAACTACATGGCAGAAGCTCATCTGGTGCAATCCGACATGGGTCTTTTGACTTCAGTGAGGCTATACTAATATATACTCCTTAAGGATTTGTTCCTACATGTTTTGGGGCTAAATTTTGCTCTGTTAAGTCAGTTTGAAACCAGATTAACTCCATAAAACTTAAGTGGTGCATAAACCTCATTCAGGACCTTTGCACAGGGGCAAATGTCACCCATTTAGGGCCAGGTCCCCAGCCGGCGTAAATCAGCATTGTTCCATGGCAGTGAGTGGAGCAAATCTCCCGTCTTACCATTTGGTAGATTAAAAGGGCCCAATCTTGAAGTCAATGGAGCTACATCAGTTTACACAGCCAAGGATGTGGTTCAGAAAGTGCAACTGACCAGACCACTTATTCTGGTAACTTGAGTGAAATACAAAGAAGAAGGATAGAATACGCACAGCCTAAAAAGTGGAAAAACAAACAGGAGGGCCTGATTCCTCCCTGCCCTGCAGCTTGTGACACCGATTGTACAAAACAGGCACTTGTCTTTTTGTTTGTACACTGCCTAGCACAATGATCTATGTTTAGGTGCTACAGCAAAGCAAACAAAGAATCAATGATACTGAATGAATGAATGAATGAATGAATGAAGAAATCACATATACATGGGCAGATTAGGTGTAAAACACTGCGAAGGCAGCATGGTAGGATTTTACACTCTCTTCGCATAGCTATAAATGTTGACCCCAGCTGCAAAGTAGCAGATAACTGAGCCCTGGACATTTCTCATCTTCCCATTGTCATGATCTCAGGTGTAATTAATAATGGAGCCGGAGACACCTTTCAATATGATTTGCTACTTCCATGGCTAGCCCAGTTCTGTTGTCATTTATACCCATCCAACCCCACTGGGCCAAATGCCTCCCTTGATTTCACTGGCTTTACTTTGAGGTTGGATTCGGCCTGTTGACTTCCATGAGGTAACGAGGAATGGGGCGTCTGTTGAATTCGCGCGGACTCATTAAGGCCACAGCCCAGCAAAGCGCTTGAGCACGTGAGCAATCCCATGAAGCCAGGTCTACAGGCATAGCTGCACTGCATTCAATAGGGCTATACCAGCTGAGGCGCTGACCCATTGATTGAAATGGGGAGACTCATGGAATTTAGCCTACAGTCATTCCATTGGCTTCAGTGGGCTTTGAATCAGACCTTCTGTGCTTAAAGTTGGACATGTTCATAGTGTTCTGCTGGATCAGGGCCTGAATTCCTTCTGTTTCCTTATCTGCCTCCCTACGCCCCTCCATATCCTGGATTGTGATACTATGGGACCTAGATCCTCAGACATATTTAGGCACCTAACTCCCATTGAAGTCAATGGAAGTTAGGCAGTTTAAATACCTTTGAAGATCTAGGCTTGAGGCAATAAGGTTCCAAGCTCCTCTATAGCCTAGTGACCACTGGTTGGGCATACAGAGCAATGTTAAAAAGAAAGCCCTTAGGAAGAAGATAGAGTGAAGGTGAAACACAGGAAAGGAAAGGAGAACAGTGAGTTCCAAAGTCCACATCTCCTCTGGGAAGCCATGGAAAGGAGACGCCAAAGAGACAGACAGACAGACATTCCCCCTAGTTTCCTTGTAGGGCCATTTCATCTTCTTCCTTCACCACAGGCAGAGAGTTGAGAGGTCTGGACTGGACATGACCAGAGAGAGTTGGGAGGTTTTCAGTAGAGCCTAGAGTATAGAATTACGAGAGGTGAGTGACAGGAGAGGAAGCCATGACAAGCTCATAGTGACAGAGATGCGCTTGGCAGGAGGGACTGGCAGGCCATTTAAGGGGCAGCGGAAATGTTAATAGAACTGAGTGAATAATTGATTTTTCAGTTCGGAGGCCAAACCCCGCCCCCCAAAAAATTCATTTGGGGTCAAACAAAATGCTTTGTTCATCTCCAGATGAACGTTTTTCCAGTTTTTCTTTTTGTTTTGAGTCTTTCTCGGGTATTTTACCCACCCCTTTTGGGGAAAAAAGCAACATTTCTAGACGAAGTGCCATTTCAAAACGAAAAACGGAAATGAAAGTGGCAGAAACGAACCGTTTTGACTTTTTCAACATTTTTCTTCCGCCTTTTTTTTTTTGGCTGACTGTTTGCCAAATTCAACCTGAATTCGCAAATTGTTTCCGCGACCTGAAAAATGCATTTTTTTCAGCGACGTTAATATTCATCAGGACAATTTTTGCCCAACTCTAGTTAACAACTCATTTGCTACCCCTTGAGCATCACCTCAGAATCTGGCCTTCAGAATGGAAAAGTAGTGGGGCCAGAGCCTCAGTTAGTTTAAATTGTTGATTTCAGTAGATCATTGACACCAGCTGAGGATCTGGGCCAACTGCCTTCAATGGAGCTATGTGGATTGACACGAGCTGCGGATCTGGCCCTTCGATCTTAACGATAGTGCTTTCTGCAACAAAAGTTAAACGATATAAAGAGCGCATGCAAAGCAGAGGAGCTTTGCACAGTAAATTACAGGGCCAGATCTTCCATGGGTGCAAATTGCCATTGAACTGCCTGGAGCAACAGAGATTTGTGCCTGTGGACAATCTGGCGCTTTGCGCATGCAGAAAGAAACCCCGGGAGAAGAGACGGGGGTGTGGCTGTACCTCCAGGGATCTCCGTCAGCTCGTTGAGCGGTGGTACGGTCTCCAGTTTGTCTGCGTAGGTCTTGGCTGCCTGCCGCTGTGCATACCGGGCCTCGATCTCTTTCTTTGTCCGTGGAATCCGGCACTTGAAGATACAGCACAGGGTTATAACTGGGAGAGAGGAGAGAGCGGGTCTCAGTTAAGTTTGCTGGCACAAGTAAAAGGTTCACCAGATCACAGCCAACAGATATCAGTGGGAGAACGCAGATCTCAGTGCAGCTACGCCAGTTGGAAATCCGGCCCCATTGACTTCACTAGAATTGTCTGTCTAGGTTTTTATCTCCCCTTCATCATCACAGAATCTGAGCTCCTCACAACGCTCAACTGATTTTACCCTCACAAGCTCCCCGGGAGCTACGTTAGTAGCATCCCCATTTCACAGCTGGGGAACAAGGCAGATTAAGTGACTTGCCCAAAAACCACACGGGGAGTTTGTAGCGGAGCCTAGAAGTGTACACAAATCTCCTGACTCCCAGCCCGCTGCTCTAACCCCTCTCTCTCAGCGTATGCGCAGCATGTCCAGCCAGCTGGAGAGCCGGTAGCCCGCCGTCGAAGTAAGTCAGTGGGCACTCCTCAAGGAGACGCGACATAGTCTGATGTTGACCATGTGTCGTTAAGAAAAAACCTCTTTGAAGAAATCGGCCGCACAACTGCTCTGTTCTGTTCGAAACTGGTTCAGGAATGGCCACAGGTGATGCTAGTGAGGTCAAAACCTGGTGGGCAGATGGTTGGGTCAGTGATGAGAGAGTGATTAATGACTGTAATCGCTGACCACTCATTATGCCAAGCATCGGGGGTCGCCGTGTTAGTCTGTATCCACAAAAACAACAAGGAGTCCATTGGCACCTTAAAGACTAACAGATTTATGTGGGCATAAGCGTTCGTGGGTAAAAAACCTCACTTCTTCAGATGCATGGAGTGAAAATTACAGATGCAGGCATTACATAATTATATAGTGCGGTTTTTTTACCCACGAAAGCTTATTCCCAAATAAAACTTAGTCTTTAAGGTGCCACTGGACTCCTTAAAAAGCAACAGAGGGTCCTGTGGCACCTTTAAGACTAACAGAAAGGTGCCACAGGACCCTCTGTTGCTTTTTACAGATTCAGACTAACACGGCTACCCCTCTGATACTGGACTCCTTGTTGTTTTTATGCCAAACAGATTCCATCGTCCTCTCCTGTGGTGGCAAAAGTGACCACAAAGGACATCTCAAAGACAGGCGAACTGGCGGGTTGAGCCATACCTTTAGCTATGCTGATTCTATGCAGATTGACACCACCTAACGATCTGGCCCCGGGTCTTTACATCCGATGAGAATTTTTCTCTCGTCTCTCGGACTCCAGAGTTTCTCTCTAGTGTATACTTGCCTAGAATAAGGGAATTTCCATACTGGATCAGACCCATGGTCTATCTAACCCTATGCCTTGTCTCTGACAGTGGCCAGCAACAGCTGCTGCAGAGGAAGGTGCGAAAAGCACCAAAGCAGGCAATTATAAACACCCACAGGGATAGTTCCCTCCTACCCTCCAGTTAGTTTATACCCAGAAGCACGAGCGTTTGTATCCCTTTGAAACTGCTGAGTTTCTTTTCCCTAACCCTTTCTAATGTAACTCTGGCCGTTTGCCGTGCCCAAACATCCGATCCTTTTTTGACTCCTGCTATGCTGTTGGCGTCAATGACATCTTGTGACAATGAGTTTCATGGACTGCATAGAAAAGGATTCCCTTCGCTCCATTTAAGATTTGCTGCCTTTAATTGGATCCCCCCTTATATTATGAGAGTCAGTAGGAGCATCTGATCTACCTTCCTCAGCACTGGAGGATCAGGATCAATGGAGTTATAGAATATCAGGGTTGGAAGGGACCTCAGGAGGTCATCTAGTCCAACCCCCTGCTCAAAGCAGGGCCAATCCCCAGACAAATTTTTGCCCCAGATCCCTAAATGGCCCCCTCAAGGATTGAACTCACAACCCTGGGTGTAGCAGGCCAAGGCTCAAACCACTGAGCTATCCCTCCCTGTTGTTGTGAGCTCACAATCAGGCCCTTCATGCTAACCTGGGGCGATGGGGGAAGAGCGAGGGGGTGAGACTCCATTCCCCTCTCCATAGGCTGCCTGGCACTTCTCATTCACTATGGGTGGAATTTATCCCTGCACAGAGGGCCAGGAAAGTACCTCAGCATCACATATGTCCCCCCCTTAAACCTTCAAAACAGGACTCGGGTAGTTCACAGGCTTTTGGCAAAGGTGAATTTCATCCCAGGGGCAGAGTTTGTGCTACATCCATCTGGCCTCCCCTGAGCAGGGAGGTCGCTTTGACAAAAAGTAAAGGGTTCCAGAGGGACACTCCTTCATTTCACCGAACAGAGCAGGGGGATGTGATCATTTCCAGCGCCTACATCGTCGTCCGTGTTGGGCTGTCAGTGAAACCGGAGCAACTGCTCCCGCTTCTGGGGTGTGTTGCAGAAACTATCCATCCCTTTAAACAATTAAGGGCAGAGAAATCATAATGGAATCTCACTAGCATCAAGGGTCACTGGAAAGTCACAAGGAAAGGAGAAATCTGAAGCAAAGGTTAATCGCAGGTAAGCATTAGGGACTGTAAAGCGTTTTGCTGGCATCTAGGTGCTTTTATCCTTTGTCCTTTTGTGCTGTCAGCATAGACTGCAGGTAACTGAGGATGAGAGACTGGAATGTGTCCTTATGATGTTGCTGACCGGTGGGTTGGTGACTGACCACTCCTACAAAGCACACGGGTGACTGTAACACACTGTTCAGTGTAGGATGTGCCTGACCCACAGGCTCTGCTACAGCTCCCAGGCAGAGGGCTTAGGGCCTGATCCGAAGCCCTTTGTAATCAATGAAAAGCCTCTCCTTAACATAGTGGTGTTTGGCCCGGGACCATGAGACTAGGGAAATCAATGAGAGTTATCCACATCTTTGAGGATCTGGACCCTAGTTCTTTAGTTCATGGTTTGTTGCTATAAAGGATTCGGTCCCCGGAGATGGTTTATAAGAATACCTAGTAATTATTTTGCACTTTTCATTCATAGCACTTTAGCAAGAAGGGCAGTATCATTACCCCCATTTTACAGATGGGGAAACTGAGGCACAGAGACTTGGCTCAGGTCCCAGAGTCAGAGATAGTACCCAGGTCTTCTGCCCCCCTCCTGCCCCCCAGTTCACTAGCAACTAGACCACATGGCAGCCTGGCTATGAATGGCTGTCAGAGGAAGGTGTGTGCAAACTTCATACAGCGCTCGCTGCACAATGCTGTACTACCGTATCACAGTTCCAATCCTGCCTATCAGCTCACATATGACATTGCAAAACATTTTGGGACCCATTTGGTTAATCAGAGCAGGAGGAATAGCCACTTGGAGACTGCTGCAGCAGGTCATGAGTGTAGAGTGCTGGGGACTGAACTGAACCGACTCCAGCCCAGACCCAGAGATGGATAACAAAACGTCCCCCAACACAAGATCCGCTGAGCGCCGGTCACAACTGAGGATTGAGTCCTGTGATGTTGCCACATGCTGGAGGTGGTTATTAAATATTACCATTATTAGCTGTAAAATGAGGAATAGGCAGGTGAATAAAATCTGGCACCAGGTTCATCAGAACACTGCAGCAAGATGATTCTGTATTTCTTCCTTGCTCATGGGAAGTAATTACTCATGCTGTACTCTGCCTCCTTTCACTTTGGACTCTGTGTGATCTGTTTTCTCTCTTAATAAGAGTGAAAGCCTGGGCTGCGTATTAGGATGGGGATGGGTGCATTTCAGGACAATTTCTGCTCTAACTAGCATGTATTTTATGGCTTGCCCCCTTCAAACCAGTCTGATGTAATTGCATTTCCTGCATATCTTGCTGTTCCACCATCACACAAGAAATCAAAGCAAAGCATGCTGGGAGGGGGAGGAGCCTGTGGCCCCATAAAATACAGGCTCCTCAGACTTGGAGGGCAGATGGCGCCAGGGAAATGTGTGCCAGTAAAGCAGTGTGAGGGAGAGGAGAGAGAAATGGCCCCGGCTCAAGGCAGCACCAGGTCAGACTGTGGTGGCTCAGTGAAGCATGGCGGAGCCTGGAAAGAAGGGACTGGATCTGGACTATGTGCCCACACAGGCTGTGGTTTGCCTACGTAGCGACAAGGGGCTCCTCTGACGGGAACAGCCAGTGAGCACACTGAAAACTTATGGGGCTGTGGGAGTGGAGCAAGTGCCAGTGAAATAAATACCCATGGGGCCTTAAGAACTGGTCCATCCTCTTCTGCCCTGCCTCCTGTGCCATGGGCAGATCCCAGCCTGCCAGTGACTAACTGGTGACACCTTGCAAATCAGGGGTTCTCAACCTTTTTCTTCTGAGCCCCCCCTCCCCCCACTCACATGCTATAAAAACTCCACCGACCACCTGTGCCACAATAATTTGTTTTCTGCATATAAAAGCCAGGGCCGGCATTAGGGGATAGCAAGCAGGGCACTTGCCTGGGGTCCCTTGCCATAGGGGCTGCTACATTGCTCAGGCTTCAGCTTCAGCCCCAGGTGGTGGGGTTCATAGCCCTGAACTTCAGCCCCTTGTGGTGAGATTTTGGCTTTCTGCCCTGTGCCCCAGCAAGACTAATGCTGGCCCTGCTTGGTGGCCTGGCCCGTCCCTGAAACCTGCTCTTGGCCCGGACCCCTGGTTGAGAATCACTCTTGTAAATAACAAATATTCCCCCCCCCCTGTGCGCAATTTAAATCTCTGCCTTATCTTTGCATTAACATGCTGCTGGCTTCTTTGTTATTTGGCTTCTGAAAACCATCTTTTCCAGTTCCCCGACACACACAGTTGAATGCAGCCACCTCCTCTGAAAAAACATCTCCCTTTTAAATTAAAAATCAGCTCTGATCCCGCTTTTGATGTTTTCTTTCTATGTTCAGCTCTCAAACCATCAAAGTGCGAAATCACTTTTCACTGCTGGGAGGCTGGGAAAGGGAAGTGTAATTTTGACAACAAGCTACTTTTTGTTCCTTTATTAAATATGGATTCAAACACAGGCCCAAAGAAGCGTGTATTACAAAAAAGGAGTTAAAACGACCGGCACGCTTTCCTTTCCTTATCGCAATCCTAGA